CCTGATCGCCCTCTACAACTGCCTGGCAGGAGGCTGTAGCGAGGTGGGGGTCGGCCTCTTCTCCCTGGTAATGGGCGATAGGACGAGGGGGAATGGTCTGAACTTGCGCCAGGACACATTTAGGTTGGACATTAGGAAAAAATTCTTCACGGAAAGAGTTGTCAGGCACTGGAATGGGCTGCCCAGGGAAGTGGTCGAGACCCCATCCGTGGAGGTATTTAAGAGATGGGTAGATGAGGTGCTTAGGGACATGGTTTAGTGGTGGGATGGCAGGGTTAGGTTAAAGGTTGGACTTGATGATCACAAAGGTCTTTTCCAACCTAAACGATTCTATGATTTCAAAGCAGTTGGGCTCAGTTTCTTTGAGGTTAGACCTCAAGTTACCTCATGACCTGCAGATTCTGGAGAACTGACCTGCGTATTTGAATGAAACAAATTTGCATCTATGTTGTTGTCTCTTATACTTTCAAAAATGTTACCTGTACTTGAAGACATTTTAAATTCTCCTCTTTCTGACACACTCTAATGGGGTGGCTTGTAGCAGTTTAGCAACAGGAAAACTGTTGCAAGACTTCGCTGTTTGCATGTGGGATAAAAGGGATGTCGCTCTGTCACAGCGCCAGCATTCGGGCAGTGCCCCAGCACCAGACCTGCCCATGCAGGGATGCTCTTGGGGTGCGCAGTATGGGCAGCAAGAGGATGAGTTTGCTCCATCTGCTGCTCCTCTCAGCGTACTGCAAGCTCCACACACACTCCTGAGGGGTACTTTAAAAGCTCCACCGGATAACTGATAAGATCGCACATAGACAGGGAAGGGAGCCTTTCATGTTTATGCAACAAAGTAGATTTGTTCAAGAGCAGTAAACCCGATGCCTGTGGGTGCATCCGTGTGAGTGCCTATCAGCTTTATTGCTCTCATAATTGAACGGTATGGACAGAGCGTGTGTGCTTTGAAGCCTTACACACCAGCGGGGTTGTGCATTTCTGTTACAGTTCATAGAATCATAGAATGTTTTGGCTTGGAAGGGACCCCTAGAGGTCCAACCCCCCTGCAGTGAGCAGAGACAGAAGTTGCCAGAGAAAACCATAGTCTGTGTTATACAACAGCTGAGGTGAACTGAGCAAAGAACTGATTCCTGGAAGCAGGACTTGCAGAGGCTAGGTTTGGAGCAGCAGCTGTTAACTTGCAGGGACTGGAACGGTGTTTCATTGGTGCTGTTCCATGCAGTTGAAGGAATCATCAAAAAAACCTCCATTGCAGAAGTGTTGCACGGTGAAATTAGAAATGATTCTTTACTTGCAGTAATAGTAAAAGGGAAATCAGAATGCAGATGTTTTATTAACGCTCTCTGGTAAAGTGTAGTTAGTTTTGCTAGCAAATGGCAGTGCTTTTAGGGCTGCGAAGGGAAGACTTCTAAAGAATTTCACAACAATGTTCGATTAACAAAATTTTTCAGTTATCATCTTGAGTTTTCCAATTATTAATAATTCTATTTCTTATTTTTACTATATATCCTCTTTTAGAGAAACGTGGGATCTTCGCAGTTCAAGACAATTGAAGATGACTTAGTATCTGCCCTTGTTCAGTCAGGCTGCATCCCAGAAAACCATGGGGAAGATATGAAGAAGATGTCTTTCCAGCGGTGTGCTCGAACAGATAAGGTATGTTGGCTAGGGCCTGGGCTCTCATAAGCTCTGGTGCACCTTTGCCAGTGCTACTGGGATTGACTGAAAAAGCGTTGCCTAGAGTGAAATCCAATAGCTAATACAATTCACAGTGACTGTTGCTTGAAACTTCTCCTTTCATCCACTACTAAACTTAAGTACAAGCAAATATTTAGAAAGCGCAGGATATGGATTAGATGATGTTTGTAAAGCCGGTGCTTCCCACCTAAACTTTGTCTGTGTTTCTGTCACTTCCATCTGCTTCAGCCTCCCAACCTGCTGCTCCTCACTGTTGTTGCTGCTTGGTTGATGGAGCTTCAATTCCAGTTGTTTTTATGCCTGCCACAGTGGGGTTCTAAGTCTGAACTGGAGTTCATGGCTGATCTTATGTATAAGTCATTTCTTTTCAGTTGCTGCTTTACTTAATAGCAGTCAAATACAGTGAGATGTCATGGAAGGGAACGCAGTGTTCTGCTATCTAAGATTGCTATTGTATAGCCATACAGCACCAGCAGGTTTTCCAGGAGTACTCTTGACTTGGATTGCTGCCTGTGCCTTGCCTTTGCCTTGCTTCAGCCTGAAATGACCGATGAGAAAAAAGAATAAACTTGTTCTTCAGCTATTTCAATTCTGCAAGCACTATCCCAGAGCTTCCAAGGTACATCATTATGTGTTTGTGTGTTTTATGGCTTTTATAGGGTGTGTCTGCAGCTGGACAGATTGTGTCGCTAAAGGTCAGGCTAATAGATGACATCTTAGAAAAGATCAATAACCATCTTCCTTCTCACATCAGAATTCTGGGTAAGGATACTGGAATGGGCAGAGAAAATGTTTTCAAAGAGGACCTTTCTCCTGCAGGTGGTCTCCCCCTTACCATTATAATTTTACTCGTAAGCGGTTTAGTTTTAACATGAATCTCTATGTTTCTGTTAGTTTGAAATTAGGGTCCTATAAAAGAAACCTTTCTATCTTTTGATTGTTCTTTATTTTAAAAATATTCTAGCTGGTAGGAGCGAGATCACGATCAGGTTGTAACCTACTGATTCAAAAACCTAATGTCACTTTTAAAATAAGGTCTGAAGAGAGTCACTGGGGGATTCAACTCCAAGAACAAATGTGATGCCAGAACCTACTCTTACATGCTGCCAACATTTGCCTTTGCCCATAAAGACCACGATGTGCAAGAAGAGGTTTATCGAGTGGACAAAGAGACCCTTGAAAAAGTCAATAAACTGCTTGCCTGCTACAAAGGAACACACAACTTCCACAACTTCACATCCCAGAAGGGACCCAGGGACCCCAGTGCCAAGCGGTACATAATGGAGATGTACTGTGGAGAGCCATTCGTCAGGGAAAACATCGAGTTTGCAGTGATCCAAGTGAAAGGTCAGAGTTTCATGATGCACCAAATAAGGAAGATGATTGGGCTGGTGATAGCTATTGTGAAAGGTTATGCTGCCGAGTCTATCCTAGAGCTCAGCTGGGGAGAGGAGAAAGTAGATGTCCCCAAAGCTCCAGGACTTGGGCTGGTCTTGGAAAGAGTACACTTTGAAAAGTACAACAGACGTTTTGGAAATGATGGGCTGCATGAGCCACTGGAGTGGACAGAGGAGGAGGAGAAGATTGCTGTTTTCAAAGAGCAGTATATCTATCCTACCATTATCAACACAGAAAGGGAAGAGAAATCCATGGTGAACTGGCTAAACACCCTCTCCATTCATGACTTCAGCTCTTCTGTTGGGATGCAAGCTAACAACAAAAATTCAAAGGTAATGATTGAAGCCATTATTTTATCAAATGGGAGCTGTCAAGTTGAAGTAGCTCTTCCCTTAGTAACATTTTTGTTTTCCACAAATATGCCATGGAAGATGACAGTCATCTGGAGTATGAAATGTTTATTATCTTTTTCCATCTTTGTGCACTTGACGATAGTGGAATGACCTATACAAAGTGTTATTTTTGCAGGGTTTTGCATGGGGCAGTTGAGGGAGGGAGGGAGGAAGGAATGCATAGATCAATTTGCAGAATTGTGAACTGGCAGCAGAAGCTGTGGGCACATGACCAGCCTTTGCTATTGTTTGAGAGGCTTGTTGTCAGGTTGACAGTTTCCCTTTAAATAACCTGGTGGCTCTTTGTATTGGCTGATTTTGGACTAATTCTCATTTTGTGTAACGCCCTGTTCACTAGGCAACGTTTGGAATTGGGGAAATCTAGAACTGTCTGTTTTAAGCAAATATTCCCTGAGCTCAAAATGGGTCATCAGAACAACTCTTCCTGAGCAAAACAGAACATTGCAAAATCTGATTTCTGACAACAGGAACTGCTGTCAGCTGCAAGTTGTAATAAAACAAAGGTGTAGAATACATTTTTAACCAAAAGAAAATTTCAGCTTTAACTTAAAGAATCTTTTTTTCTGGCTGGGATGTAGAATTTCCTCACAAGAAAGGAGTGGAAAGATGTTTAGGACATGTAGAATTTGGTTGGGAGCTGCATAAGGAACCTTGAGTCAAACCCTCAAAGTATTTCTTTAAATTGACAACCACCACTGGAGTGACTTAAAATATAACTGCTTGATTGGACAAGTCCCTGATTGACGTGATCTAACTTTGAAGCAAACCCTGCTTGAGTGGGGGATTCGACTTGATGACGTAAAGATGCCTTACAGTTCTGTATGTAATTCAAATTGTCTTGGTCACAGGGCTGGCAAATCCTTGACGGACAAATGATGGGCAGGGCTAAAAGTTCTGTGTAGTGCAACTCAGAAGAAAATAATGACCTTTTTCACTTAATGGAGTCTTTAAAATTAGCTTTATTTTGCGTAGATAATGATCCTGCTCTGAAGAATTGTTAGGTTTAATCCTGTCTCTGCCATTTTTTGTTTGAGTACGAGAAAGAGTTTCAACATACAAAATAAAATTTACTGCCTCGTTGAATAGTACAAGCGAGATACCAGAAATTTCTCAGGGTTATTTTTGTACTTGTGGTAATTTTTTTTCTGAAGTGTAGCACTGTATGAGGACATTTGTGACAGGAGGTTATGACAAATGCCACATTAGTTTGTCTAAATGGGACCCAAAGAGACCGTGTGGTGCAGAGAGTCCTTGCCTGGCTCAGGGGTCCTGATAATAGTATAATAGTGTTGACAGGACTCACTGCTGACAAGTTCAAAATCACTGAGATATTGCTAGCCAGAGGCAGGTCTGCTTCTTTTCGATAAACTTGACCAAACAGAGTTTTGGCATCATAGCACGAGCTGTCTGGAGAAGGATTAATAAGGGACGATATGACAGACTCCTTTGAGCTCTTGCAGGCTGTTTGCCCTTCAATGAGCTGTGATTGCTGTTACAAAGGCAACTGTCTAAGTCTCTCAGAACTTGTTTTGTAGTAGGATATTAAATTGTCAATGTTAAATTCATGGGATTTGGGGGTTTACATGCTTTCAGCAAGTGGTGGTGAGGAAAAAAAGGACTAACTACAGGCATATTGTCATGTTAACCTTTCTTTGTAAAATCCTTTGATGCCAATCATATCAGTCAAAGTACTTGCTTCAAAAAATTACATAAATCCCCCCCCCCAAATTTATCATACTGTATTGACTTGCTCCTGAAGGAGTGCCTCCCAGGTAAGAACTCAGACTTCAGTTTCCTTGTAAGTTGCTAACAGTTGTAGTGTTTCCCTAATACTACTCTGTAGGACTGACTTAATTTTTAAACAAGTGTTAGTGAGCCCCTGCATATCTCTAATACAGTTTGGACATAAGTTCTCTGTAGCAGACAAAATTCTCAAACCTGGCTTTAGCCCATGTAACAGACTTAGCTTTTGAAGGACTTGCATGAAAAAAAGCACTTGTTAACTTGTCTCACCTGCATTTACTTTAAACACCATGCTATTAACGCACTTTAAGTTTCCCACATACTGCAGGTTGTAATCATGCAGTTGTAAATACAAATGAGAAGAAATTTCTTCTGCTGGTGAGTGTAATCCAATGTACAAATTTTTTGCTTGCAAGAAGTGTCATTTACCATCATGGAAGTTTGGTTACAGTAGATGGGTTTAAGACATGAAGTTGGGATCTAGCCCCATTTTCTCATACTTTTGGAGAAGTTTAAGGTCAATATCTGTGAATTAGGTCAGCCTCTAGATATAAATGAAATACCAACAAACCATTTTCTATTTTACAGAACAGCAGCGATCTCGAAGGCAGTGATGGTTGTGATGATGATTCCGACTGAGCCAGTAAGTGACTGGACGTGGGACCCTCACTGCTTGCCATTCCCTTTGTCTACGAAAAGTGGCCTTTCCAAATCCAAGAATCCAGTAAAGCAGGGGTTTGTGTGCTTGCAGAACAACTGTATGCCCAGGAGAAACTGGGTGGGGAAGACAGTGCAGTAGAAAAAGTTAGAGGCTTTTTATAGCACTGACTGATTCACCTGACTGGTATACTTGAAAATAGTGTAACGTAAAATAAGCTTTCTAAAAGAATCTTGTAATGCAGGATATCTTAATTGCTATTTGAATAATGTTTTTATTATATGTTTACCTGGAAAATAGTATTTTAAATATGTATAATCTCTACATAAAGATGGGGCAAATAATTTTAATATACTCTTTATTATCATTGTTTTGAAGTTATGACTCTGTGAACTTTTGATTTTTTTTTTTTTTATTACTATTTTCTTCACTTTTACTTGGTCTCTAAACACTGTTAAGCTTTTATTTTCCATGTCATCTGTGACTTTCCTGTGGAATAACATGCATGGGTTAGGAACTCGCTATCATGCTGACTGCTGTGAGTTCTTTTGGGTTTGAAACAAATCTTCTGTTTTCTGAAGCTTTGCGAGTCTAAAAGAAATGATTCCTTGCTCAGTGAGAGGTCTTAGTTTTGGAATGTGGACTGAGCCATGTGTTTCAAGAGGAGACCGTTTATCTGGGAATTGTCATCCTCCCAGTATTGCCTGCATGCTTGGGCAGACTCGAGAATAGAGATCTGCAGCCACGTGTGTAACTGGGCTGCCCGAGGTGTCGTTTCACAGACCTGATGTAAATTAATTGTTAGGACTGCAATTTCACAGTGTGCAGCCAAGAATGTTCTGGCGTTGCCTGTGGTGGATCACTAAATGTGTCGCTGCTGGTTTAGTATTTCTGGTTTTAGTGGAAACCGTTTAGCCACCTGCTAGATTCGGGGCTGACTCAATTTAGCATGCGTGAAAGGAGTGGTGCTGACTTCCTCTGGGCTTTAATCAAGTCTGCCTCCGCTTTGTGTGCGTGAACTCTTAATTCCCATCACGCTGCTCAGAACAGAGGAATGTGTGCAATGATACGGGAAGCACATGTCTGAGGAGCGTCTTCCTTTTGGGAATTGATTTTAATTTTCTGTGTTTTGGAGATCTGCATATTCTGGGGTTCTTGCTCTCCCCAGCTGTGATTTGACTTCTGGTTCTTGTTTCCAACTCTCCGTGGAGGTGTGGAAGAAAAACCAAGTACAGGCAGCAGCCTTCAGGCCCTCCCTGCCTGTAGAACACTTTTGGAAGGGGTGAAACAAGACTCTCCAATCATTCAGGTGTTGGTGCGAGTGCTCGATACGCTTCCCTAGCGGGGTCTGTATGCAGACTTGCTTTGTAATATGGTAGTTTTTGAATGTGAGGAGGGAACTCTTGGCTCCTTCATTCAGTGGTGTCTGCCCAAATCCTCTAATTTTATGGCTTCTGCAATTAGGGTTGTTTTGGGTTTTTTTTTGCCAGAGCACAGCTCTTAAAGCAAAACCCTTAAAAAGGGATTTGCTTTTTTTTATCTGGGTTTTAATTAGTGCTTTTTATTTTACTGTGAAGGCTTTGCTCTATTTTATCTATTTTATTAGAGTGTGTAAAAGCCTTCTGGAGAGGGACTATACCCAGGTTTTCATTTATATCCTTTGCTGTTCATACTATTGACCTAATCTGCATTAGTCTTCCATCCAAAGCTCTATCTTTCTATCCCTTTCAATCTGAAAAAAACCCAAACCACCCAACTTTAGTTGCTTATAATAAAGGCCCCCAAACTGATGTGTATCTCGGTTGAAATCAACGGGAATGTCTATTTATAGCCTTTGGAGAAAACAACAATAATAAAAAGGGTATTTCTTACCTCTTGGTCTGCGTGCTTGCTGTTTTATTTCATGGGGGTTATTACTTTGGTATCTCAGCTCCCCTTTCAGTGCAGGAGCTGAATAGAAAAGTAAAAGTTACAGAGGCGGTTTAAATTCTAAAACGGACTCGAAGGGGCGCAGCGCCGAGCTGCGTTACGGGGAAGGAAACGGCGCCGGCCCCTGCCCC